TGTTCTGCTGAAAAACAACAGACCTACTGGCCAGATCACAGTTGGAAATAGAAGAGAGAAAGCCTAAAAACAAAACTAATACAGTCATTGGTAAGCTGTAATATTATTATTACAGGTACTTATATAGTGCCGTCAATTTACGATAATACGTCCATATAATAAATGTTTGCTTTTGGGTTTACTACTGCTTTAAAGTGTAACTGAAGGCAAAATGTCTTTTCTTTTGGATGGAGTGCAGAGGGAGTAGGACACCTGTCAGGTTTTTATTGCTGTCTGTGTCCCCGTTAAGGAGATTCATCCTCACTATTTGTCCTGGTGAAAGTTATCACCGGGAGTGAAAGAAAATCTTAAAATATGAGTTGTCACCGGAATAGGAATGGAGGGGAAATCTTTTTATTGGAGGATTTGTTCTGGTAACAACCAGGGATTTCCCTCACCAGGGATTTTCTCTCACTGTTTTGAATATGGGACAGGAAGTGAAGGGAAATCTCTACAATGGGACACAGATAGAAAAAGACTGCCAGGAGTTATTACCCTCCCTTACTCTATCCATAACAAAGGAAAAAAGATTGTTCTATTATAAACCCCCCGTCAGTTTATTATATTTATTGTCTGTGACCAGTTGGGGAGATTTTCCTTTAGTTCTTGTCATGGCTAATAAACAGGAAGGTGACTCTCTAACAAAGTGGTAGTAATCCCCCTCTCAGTCTTGGTTTGCAATGATGCGGTGCGGAATTTGCAGAGTTTTCAGAGCAAATTCTGCACCACATCACAATCGCACTCCGTTCATACGAACCGATGCTGTTTTGTATGTTAAGTTAACAACACCCCGACATCAGTCCGTAAACGCGGCGCGATGTGCAGAATCGGATCACATAGGTGTGAATACCTATGCGATCCGATTCTAGTGCGGACCAAAAAAGGGTCCTGCACATTTTTTGGTGCGGTGCGAATAGAGCCATACAAAACGTATGGCTCTAATCGCACCGCATACAAATCGCATGTGATTTGTATATGAATGCGGTGCGATTCCTGTGCGAATCACATGGGATTTACCGCACCGCTGTAGTGTGAACCTAGGCTCAGACAGCTGTCCCTGAGACACATGTCAATAGAGAGGGTGAATCTCCCAAGTGGGGTCACAGACAGCAATAAAAACTTCACAAGGGATCTAACCCTTCTACACTCTCCAAAAAAATGGGCTATAAATACACTTTACAGGCACAAACATGTAATCATTGCTTTCATGTGAAATATGTTGCAATCGGCATAAGCTTTCTCGCTCAGATATCCTTAGAAAAGATGCATATGGTAGAGATTTATTGCACTGCAAAGATACTTTTTCTGTTAAAACATGTGAAGCTAATTGAGGAACATATGGGGAACACACAAGAAATGGTCACTTTAATTTTTCTTTTATTCACAAGCCTTTGTTTGCAGTTTTCACTCACCTCTTATTTAAACAAAAGACTAATCATTCATTTTAATGCAAAAGTTAAAAAAAGTGCTATTGTGTGGGGGGGGGGGGGGGGGTGGGTTGTAGTTTATATTAATACAAAGAAAATAAAAATATCACAGTGCAATACTGTGGGAAAATGGAAAGTCACAACATCACATGACTTGAGATGACAATGCAACTTTTAGTTGGTGGCTTCGCACTGATCATACGTTTTCTAATAACCCCAAACACAGGATGGCAAGGAAGTCCCGATTGTCTGCTAGTGTATCATGTATAAAAATGATATTAATGTGGAAATATATACACTGTAGAAGAAAGTGGAAAAAAAAAAAGACTAGCTCCGAAATACCGAATTTTCAGCATTCAAATACTTTTATTTATACAAGATGTTTGCAGTAACTGTTATATTGCTTTCCTTTTTTTCCAGTTTTGTTTTGATGATCTAACAGATCATCATTGCTATGCTGGTTTTCCAGTTTTGTTTATACGCGCTATCACTATAATTACTACGCTTTGTATTATACTGTACTGACAATATATAGTAGGATTTATTACTCTACTACTTCAGTGGGTATTGCCTGCTTTGATTTTTTTTAATTAATAGATATTCTTAAAATGTATGTAAACCCTAACATTGAACTGTACTTCTTATTTGCTCCCTTTTGGTCTGTCTCAGGCAAGGTTCACACCTATGCAGTTTGCGTTTGATCCGTTTCTGCAGTGCATTTTGCACATGCGTTTTTTTGCCACGTTTTTGATGCGTGTTGCACTTTGGTGTTTTAAAATGTATTTATTTTTTACTTTTTACTAGGCAGATTGAAACAGAAAACAAATAAAAAACGTGACAAAAATGCACTACATGCTTTTCTGCAGCATTTCCATTGAAGTCTATAGAACCAAAGATGCAACTTTTTGAGATTAAAAAAGTCCCTGACCCTTTCCAAAAACCACAACAAGTGAAAACATGGAGATGTGAACGTGTCCCAGAGGAAATCATGTTAAATGGACTGTAGTGCGTTTCTGCAAAACGCAGTGGAAAATGCTTAGGTGTGAACCTGCAGTCAATGATATCCTTAGGAGTTAATTTACTAAAACTGGAAAGTGCAAAATCTGGTGCAGCTGTGCATGGTAGCCAATCAGCTTCTAACTTCAGCTTGTTCAATTAAGCTTTGACAATAAGCCCTGGTTCACACTGGATGCGACTTGGCATATATATATATACTTGCAAATTGCATGCCAAGTCCACAATTGTCCCTATTGTCCCCTATCGATGTGGTTCCAACTTGGTCGGAGCCGCACCGATTTCAAAAGTAGTACATGCACTACTGTTGTTACTATTTGCATAGACATCTGTATCAGATGTCTTGCAAATCGCATCTGAAACCGTCAGGTCCCCCGACTTTGAAATCGTGCAACTTCACTGTAAGTCGCACGATTTCAAAGTTGGGCTTGATGTGAATGGATGGTAAAACCTGGAAGCTGATTAGTTTCTGTGCAGAGCTGCAAAAGGTTTTTCACTCTTCAGTTTTAGCAAATCAACCCCTTAGTCTCTACAAATAATTCATACACATTCACTACTTTTCATCCCTGTAATCTATTTTTGATTAAATGGATTCATACTGTGTATTTCTGCCTCATTGTAACATTCTCTGTGACCTTTGAAACCTCTCCTTTCCCCTCTCACTTGTATTTGTTTGGAATGAGTAGTGGACAATATATACAAAGTGCCCCTTTAAATATAACGTTAGAAACATTGTGTTATATCTGTTTGATAAATGCAAATAAAGTGCGTGTTCATGTCAGAAATTCAGCGCTGTCCATAGTCGTCTGGACAATTTTAGTTTAATCTCAATGAGCCTTCCTAGTTCTTAAAGTGTTACTAAACCCAGACCCTGCATTCACTATATCTGGTCTCCCACAGTACACACAACATGGAAATGCAATTATTTTAGTAAATATAAACTGCTAAATACCTTTTTCATCAGCAGTTAGAGCAGTCTTAACTGCTTCAGACTTCAGCAGAGCACTGGTTTAAAGCTTGTAGGAGGAGTTTTCTTTCTGCTGTAGGAGGATGTGAAAGTCCTGACCCTCTGTCTGGACAGTGCTGACTGGCCCTGTGCTGATCACATGCACTCTCCCAAGAAAAAAAAAAAAAAAAAAAAACTCTCTAGCATTACACACCAAACTGAGCATGTGCATGTGACTACAGATTTGATCTGTATCAGGTGTTCATTTCAATAAGAGGAGGGGCAGAGAAGAAAGGAACAAACAGCCTTTTTACACACAACACATAGGATTAACCCCTTAGGTTCCACAGTGAGAATAACAAGCATGCTTTACTGCATATACAGACTGATTTTACTCTTGTGGGTTTAGTAACACTTTAAATTGGAGCACAGAATGATTAACCTTTATATTATAAAGTTGACTGGTTGACTGGTAGTTTAGCAAAAAACAACAGGGCAGGGCTGACACCATTCAGTCCATGAAAAAAAAAAAAAATCAAAACTGTGCATTATCAGCCACAAGAGGATTTAGGAGCTGAGTGCATTTCTGGCAGGTCAAGATGTATTTTCCTTTACCTATAGGGTCTTTAAAGGGATAAAAATGGGCAAATGTGTATGTATTGTATAAATGTACTGCATATTTTTTTTTTTTACTTGTTACTAGATGTAGTATTTCTCAAGTGTTTAGCAAGAAAAAAAATAGCAAAAACAAATGTTCTTCCTGCACGTCTATGCCTTCAATAATTTCAGGATCACTAAAGCAGGACAAGCATACAGAAAGTAATGTAAGAACATGCCATCTACCTACCTCTTCCAGGTCAGTGACTCAGAAAGTATTAAAGCTGAAGCATGAGCATGACAATCAGGCATTAAAAAATGTACAGAATTGAAAGAGGTTTGCAATGACAATATTTCACTGAGAACATGATTTTTTTGCAACAAGCCTGTGGGCTCACCTTACTTTCTGAAGTGGTCCCAGCCAAGTCTATAGTGAGCACACAACTGGGTGGCTTCTCTTCAGAGCATCCTAGGATAATAGAGTTGGGTCGCTGTACTATGCAAATCTCAATAAAATGCAATGGGAAGCCCTGCTGTTTAATAGGGAGGCAGAACGGGCATGAAGAGAGGGTCACAGCTAGATCACCAAATCAGTGGACAGTATTTGCACAATAAAGTAAGGCCCCATGTACATGGGATGTTTCTGAACGATGGAAACTGACTGCTGGAAAACGTAGGTTAAAAAAAAACGTCTGTTTAGCCACGTTTCCATAATGTGTTTAGGCGCGTTTGCGTTTAGAAGCGTTTTTTAAAGATAAGCACAGGAGAACCTCCCAAATGCCCAAAATGCACTAAAAAAGTGGTAAATTATTAACTATTTCAGACTGTTTCAGAGAAATACAGAGAGTAGAAGCAGAAACAGCAGTATGTGTTGAGATTAGCTTAGGTGTGAGTTGTGCATTAACATTTCTTTTATTTCCAGGGGTGGGAAAGGTGTCTGGTGGAGTGAGTCCTTAAGGCCACCTGTCAGGGGGTCTTCATGAGGAATTTGAGGTGTGAATGGTCATTAACATATCTTTTGTTTCCAAGGGTGGGAGAAGTCTGAAGTGTGAATTGGTCATTACAATGTGTGACAAGCTTGGTAGGAACATCCTGTGTTCAGTGTTTTTGTCCATCTGAGCACCTTTTGCATGCCTTTTTCATGATGAAAAAAAAAGGCTCTGGACAGCATTGGGAACTGGAAAAGTTAAAAAAAAATTTCAAACACAAACGCTTATAAACGCGATTTGCTGTGTTTACAAGCGTTATACGTTTGAAACGCTAATAAAATCGATGTCTGAACGCAAAAAAATGACTGTAAACTCAAATGCCTGTAAACGACTGTAAGTGAAGATGCGTACATGGACACATAGGAAACCATTAGGGTGAGTTCAGGGGCTGCTGAAAAAATGCTGAACAGCTCCTAAACGTGAGCTTATCATCTGCAGTGTCCATGAGCCCTAACACTGGTTGGCCGAATCCCTGTCACTCACCCAAGATCACTTTAAAAAGTAAGGTAAGCCTATACTGTTGACTTAAAAGCCACGTCAGAACAATAGGAGTGTTGGAGAGCATATTGAGACAGTGTAGAAACTCCTTTTACTGTTTAATTGTATTTTGCCATTGCCCTGTTCTAAGTAGTGGAATGTCATGTTTGGCATGTTGTATTTTAAGCTGCAGCTTTGAGAATGAGTCTAGGCTCGTATGCTGCAGGATATATACTCCAAAATTCCAAATGGTCTTGCCCAGAGTGAATCCTGTATTGCTCTGTGACATGGACATATTACATTTAGGCTAGGTTCACATCTATGCAGATTGCGGTTGATGCATTTTCCGGGTGCATTTTGAGATTTTTTAATGCATTTTTAAAAATTCTTTATGAATTTAGCATTTTTCATTTTGTGCTTTGTGTGACTTTAGCTGGTTGTCAAGAAGAGGGCGGCCACTGGCGTCCTTAAGAACCAGTAAACAACATGGTTGGTAGCCTCCCTGGCGGTATTCCCGAGTGTAGCTCGGGGTAAAGTTTCAGTACCACAAGTGGTAACCCCGAGCTACACTCGGGCTTACCATGCGGTGCTGCTCCGGGATCTTTTGTTCTCTTACCTTGTCCTGCGCTCCCGCGATGTCCCTCCTGCAGTGTCCCCGGCAATGTCCTCCGGCGGGACGTACGGGGATGGAACGGCGGGAAATTTGAAAATGACAAAAAGTGACATTCACTAAATACACTAAAATCACATAGTAAAACATTACTGTATCAAACCATTTCACATACATTTTGTCCCTAGTGCTTTGTCCTGTGCCCTGCCTGCATTTTTACTGTTCTTTCTGCCTGGAAACTGAGTTTTGTCCATGGCATCCATAAAGCGTCCCTTTAGGTCAAAAGCAGTTTTAGACCAGCTAGAGAACAGCGATAGTAAATCAGAACTACTTGCAGAATTGAGTGATAATGATTCGTGGGGAAATTCGTCATCAGACACTGAAAACGATTTTGCGACTTTGCTCAGTGATGTGTGAACTTGGCGCTATATTTCAAATTTCAGTGTTTTTGGTTTGATTATATTATTGAATTAAATTTATTATTATTATATTAATATTTTTTTTATGATTATTTATTAAATCATAATTTATGATTTCATGTTTCAAATTTTAACATACCCGGGATCAGGGGCGGACTGACCATTTGGAAACTCGGGCACTGCCCAAGGGCCCAGGGTCAGTAAGGGGCCCCATGAGATGCCCCTGGTACCTTTTTCATAGGCTTTTTTGAGTTTGGGCAAGGACACAGGGGCCCCATGATCCCCTATTGCCCGGGGGCCCCATGAGTTGTCAGTCCGCCCCTGCCCGGGATGTTTTCTAGACTCTTGTTCGGACAGATTTCAGTGAGTTATTCCTAAAAATTACAGGCCTACAATAAAAAAAAATACAAATTTCCATGCAAAAAAAATTTACCGCTTTGTGCAGGTGTGTGACCCGGAAGAAGAAAGCAACTGTTGCATGAGTGACTGCAGAGCTCAATCTCAGTCTTTATCATTGTCCCTTTCATATCCATGGCCCAAGCATCTGTACCCCCTGCTAACTCTCAAACCTGGTGGGAAGTGGGTGTTCATAGGACAACTTCAGCAACCTGCCGTCACTGATAACTATAGTGCACCTGACAGGTAAAAAAAACTGATATGACATTTTTGAGGTTGGGATTTTCAGCTATTCAAGTAGTTTAGGCTAAAGCTGCTGCTGATTAACCACTTCCTTACTGAATGATGGCTCCAGGGCGGATGTCCTATCAGACGGCGCCCCCAGCTGCGCGCACCAGGTGCTGTCTGTGATCGCTGTGTCCTTTGGACACAGCTGATCATATGTCATGATAAAAGGCCAATCACAGCGGCCTTTTACCACGTGATCAGAGCTGATCACCATGTAAGTACACTTGCCGGTTATCGGCAGTACTTTCCTCATGCTGTCACAACATGAGGAAAGTACTGCCAATAGCCGGCAACTGTCAAAGGAGACGTCAGTGCCCCACGGTGCTGCCTTTCAGTTCCCAACAGTATGCCCATCAGTTCCCAACAGTGCTGCCCAGCAGTGATGTCAGTCTATGCCCATCAGTACTGCCATTCAGTGCTGTCAGTCAGTACTGCCAGTCAGTGCCGCCAGTCAGTGCCCTTCAGTGCTACCTATTAGTGCCCATCAGTGCTGCCTATCAGTGCCCATCATTGCCACCTACCAGTGTCCATCAGTGCAGCATCAGCAGTGCCTCCTCATCACTGCCCACCAGTGCTGCCTCATCAGTGTGGCCTCATTAGTGCCCAACAGTGATGCCTATCAGTGCCCATGAGTGCTGCCTATCAGTGAAGCCTCATCCATGCACATCAGTGAAGGAGAAAAATTACCTGTTTTCAAAATGTTATAATAGAAACAAAGAAAACCTTTTTTTTCCAAAATGTTTGCAATTTTTTCGTTTATAGGGCAAAAAATAAAAACCCCAGTGGTGATTAAATACCACCAAAATAAAGCTCTATTTAAAAAAAAAGATAAAAATGTTATATGGGTACAGTGTTGCGTGACCGCGCAATTGTCATTCAAAGTGCAACAGCGCTGAAAGCTGAAAATTGACCTGGGCAGGAAGGGGGTAAAAGTGCCTGGTAGGCAAGTGGTTAAAACACCTGTAGTTCAGGATAGGAGGGTGAATAATATGTTACTAGTGGCCCTAAGAGGGAGTGGAGAGTGCCATTTGCTTTTTTTTCTACTGTAAGCAGATTTGTGTGACCTCCTTCTGAAAGTGCTAATTGTCTGGCTGTCATGAAGACTTTCTGAGTCACTAAGTTGGAACAGTCTGGCTGTGTCTAAGGCAGAATTCATTATCCGCACACTTACACTTGGTCAGTGACTTGTAGTATTGAAGCCAGAGGGTCAGCATTACAGCCAGGAAAATAGGAAATTTGTAGAAGGAAAAGTTAAAGCAGAACTCCAGCCAAAAATGCCTAAGTAAAGATGAATAGCTCATTAAAACATAAACTTATAAAATCAGTGTTTGCTGTAATGGCTTAAGTCCAGTTGTACTGTTACTCAGTCTGCTGATAAGAGGGTACTGCCAGCCCTCCTGTACAGGGCCCATGCCCCAGCAGTTCAACAGGGGGGCCTGGGCAGCTGACAAGCAGGGGTAATTGGATCATAGACAAGGCAGATGATTGGTACCGTGGGGAAGCAATTACTGGAACTGATCCCCCTTTGTAGCTCTCCCTGCAGCTGAGGGAAGGAGAGAAGAAGAAGCTGGCTTTCAGTTCTAGGGAAAGCCATATGGGAGATCAGTTCTCCTCCCATCGACTTTCAGCTCCTTCTAAAGCCCGCTGTTGGCTGACATCACTGAGCCGATCCACTCTATTGACAGATTCCGACTTTAATGTTGAGATCCACCCAGATGCATGACCGGCAGCTGGCTCAGCCTCTCAGCTGTAGCTGAGAGGCTGAGCCAGCCGCTCCCTCGCCCTGCATAGCCCATCCAGTGAGCATGGGGAGGGCAGAGCAGAGAGCCTGTGACTGCCAGCCACTGCTCTCTGCTCACGGAACACCAAGAACTGAGCAAACAGCGATCATGTGATTGCTCTGTTCTCTGTCTTAGAGGCTGAGGGGGACACAGCTCAGATCGGCGCAGCATCTACCTACAGTAGGTAAATCTGATATTTTTAATTCCTCCATTTCTCTTTTACGCAAATAAACTTAAAGTGGAAGTCCAGTCTAATCCTATCTAATCTCAATCCCGCTCCCACCTACCCTGTACTGGTCTGGACACAAGATCTCCCCAATGGCCAGTTTCAGGGGAGAGGAGAGATCAATGACTGCAATGCCTGGGCGGTGACGTCACCCATAGGCTTACTATGGGGTATCCTATTGTCGGCTGTCTTACCACTCCCCCAGGGGCGGACTGACCATTTGGAAACTCGGGGACTGCCCGAGGGCCCAAGGTCAGTAGAGGGCCCCATAAGATGCCCCTGGTACCTTTTTCATAGGTTTTTTTGAGTTTGGGCAAGGACACAGGGGCCCCATGATCCCCATTGCCCAGGGGCCCCATGAGTTGTCAGTCCGCCCCTGCACTCCCCTAAAGCCAGAGCTGGGAGTCAATCATGTGATTGGACTGGAGCACCCAGGGAATAGGTAAGTATACACATCTTTCCTCTACAGGCTAGTTAGGTTAGGACTTAGAATGGGAGTGGGAGAAATTTTAACATTAGGTAGGATTAGACCAGATCAGTGGCGTCACGAGGCAGTTGCGGGGAGTGCAGCCCGCACTGGGTGACACCGACCACACGGGGTGACACCGGACCCGCTCCAAGAAAAGGTAAGTTGTAAAGCAAGCAGATGATCCCCGCACGATAGATCCGATCCATCCTGCGGGGATCGTCGGCTTTCTTTACAACTTACCTTTTCTTAGAGCGGGTCCGGTGTCGCCCTCTATAGGTTGCATGCCGGCATTCCCCGTATCCTGCGGGGATCGTCGGCATGCAACCTATACAGGGTGACACCGGACCCACTCCAAGAAAAGGTAAGTTGTAAAGAGAGTTGACGATCCCCGCAGGATGGATCGGATCTGCGGATTGAGCATAATGGATCGGAGTCCGATCCATTATGCTCAATCCACAGATCCGATCCATTCTGCGGGGATCGTTGGAGGGGGTATCACCAAGTGTTAACGCACTGGGTGACACCAACCCTAGGGACGCCTCTGGACCAGATTTCCACTTTAAAATATGACATATCCTCATGTTTTTCGTATTCTACACTGGATATGGATAGGTGATTTTTTCCTCCTCAG